ATGTTTGTCTTTCTGTGCTTGACTTCTTTCACTTAACATAATGTTTTCCAGTTCCATCAATGTTGTTGTAAATGTCAGGATTTCTTTTTTTTGTGGCTATGTAATATTCCATTGTGTATGTGTACCATCATTTCTTTATCCATTCATCCATTAATGGACACTCAGGTTGATTCCAAATCTTGGGTATTGTGAATAATGCTGCAATAACCATGGGAGTACAGCTATCTTTTCGATATACTGATTTCCCCTCCTTTCGATATAAACCCAGCAGTGGGATTGCTGGGTCATATGATAGTTCTATTTTCAGGGTTTCTTTTTTTGTTTGTTTTGTTTTGTTTCTTGAGGAATCTCCATACTGTTGTCCATAGTGGTTGCACTGATTTACATTCCCACCAACAGTGTACGAGGGAGGGTTCCCCTTTCTCCACATCCCCACCAACATTCATTATTGCCTGTCTTTTGCCTAAAAGCCATTTTAATTATGGTGAGATGATATCTGATTGTGGTGTTGATTTGCATTTTTCTGATGACTAATAATGTTGAACATATTATCATATGCCTGTTGGCCATTTGTATGTCTTCTTTTGAGAAATGTCTATTTGATTCTTCGCCCATTTTTTAATCAGATTGTTTGATTTTTTTTCCCTACCAAATTGTTAGAGCTCTTTATGTCTTCTAGTTATTAATCCCTTATCAGAATGGTAGTTTACAAATATTTTCTCCCATTCTGTACATTGTCTCTTTCCTTTGTTGATTGTTTCCTTTGCTGTGAAGAAGCTTTTTAGCTTTATGTGATCCCATTTGTCCAATATTGCTTTGGTTCCCTGTGCTTTGGGGTTATTACTCAAAAAAATTATTGCCCAGACCAATGTCCTGAAGCATTTTTCCAATGTTTTCTTTTAGTAGTTTCATAGATCCTCATCTTAGATTTAAGTCTTTAATCCATTTTGTTTGATTTTTGTATATGGCGAGAGATAAGAGTCTAGTTTCATTCTTCTGCATATGGATATCCAGTTTTCCCAGCATCATTTATTGAAGAGACTGTCCTTTCCCCAACGTATGTTCTTGGCACCTTTGTTGATTATAAGTTCACTATCGATGTGTGGATTTATTTTGGATTCTCTATTCTGCTACAGTGGTCTATGTGTGTATTTTAATTCTAGTGCCATGCTGTTTTGGTTACTACAGCTCTATAGTATAATTTGATACCAGGTCATGTGATTCCTCCAGTTTTGTTCTTTTTGCTCAGTGTGTCTTTGGGTAATCTGGTTTTTTTCTAGTTTTATATGAATTTTAGGATTATTTTTTCTATTTCTGTGAATAATAGCATTGATATTTTGATGCAGATTGCATTTAATCTGTCAATTGCTTTGGATAGTATGGATATTTTAACAATATCGATTTCTTCCAATTCCATTCACTTTTTTGTGTGTCCTCTTCAATCTCTTTCATCAAAGTTTTATAGTTTTCTAATG